TATTAGTTTTAGATGTACAACACAGTGATTGGACAGTGCTCTCCATTACTCAGTGTTCACCAAAGTGTAGTCACTCTGTGTCACATATATTATTACAATATTATCGACTATACTCCCTATGCTGTACCTTTTATTTCTCTGACTTACTTTATAACTAGAAGTTTGTGCCTCTTAATCCCCTTCACCCATTTCACCTGTCCCTTATCCTCCTCCACTCTGGCAGCCACCAGTTTGTTCTCTGTATTTATGAGTCTGTTTCTTTTTGTTTTGTTTTGTTGTTCAGAATTCACATATAAGTGAAATCATATGGTATTTGTCTTTCTTTGACTTATACCATCTAGCCTAATACCCTTTAGGTCCATCCATATAGTTGCAGATGACAATATCTTCTTTATTCCTTCATCTGTTGGTGAACACTTGGGTTGCTTGCATTTCTCGGCTATTGTAAATAATGCTGCAGTGACAGTAGGGGTGCATACATCTTTTTGAATTAGTGTTTTAGTTTTCTTTGGGTAAATAGTAGTGGAATTACAAGATCATATGGTATTCCTATTTTTTTATTTTTTTGAGGAAACTCCATATTGTTTTCCACCGTGGGTGCACCAATTTACATTCCCAGCAACAGTATATGAGGGTTCCCTTTTTTTCACATCCTCACCAGCACTTGTTATTTGTCTGACTGGAGTTGGGGTGCACTGGTCCAAACTGGCTGATTAAGCCACATGGGATAGAATCACTGTCACCAAGAGTAGTTTGCTCCGAAAGGGCAAAAGATGCTGGTCAGGCAAAAGGAATATATCTACAGCAGATAGTGCTCAGTCTAGACCCACACACCATCTGCTAACACCCCATCGGCATACTTGAGCTGACAGGACCCATGAGGTGACTGCAGAGGCACAAGATCGGGACAGCAGTCTTTTACATGGAGTAATAAGATTGACATCTTTACTTGGATATCACATAAGGAGTTGACACTCCATGTGTTTAAAATTAAACTCATCAACTTTCCCAACTAGTTTCTGTGAACCCAGTCTTAATATAATGATAAACAAGACATGGTCACTACTTTTATTACGAGTGTTGGTCAACAAGTAGAATTGGTCCGTAACTATAGGTTATAGATTGGGTGGCTCAGTTGGTTAAGCAGCTGCCTTCGGCTCAGGTTATGATCCCAGTGTCCTGGGATAAAGTCCCACATCGAGCTCCTTGCTCGGCAGGGAGCCTACTTCTCCCTCTGCCTCTGCCTGTGCTCGCTCGCTCACTCTCTCTCTGACAAATAAATAAATCTTTAAAAAAAGAAAAACCACAAGGTCTCTGATTATGTATGATCTTTCTCTGGAAGTTACTACAGTTTATATACATTTGTTTGCTTTGTGTGTTTTAGATTTAAAAAGGTTTTTCAGGAAACAGAATCTCATTATGAATCTTATTTAAATTGTATGTTTTCGTGTAGCTATAATATCTGCCATATGCCAGGCAATACCACTGTGCTAGTGCTAGGGATACAAAAATAAATACACACTGCCCTCAAAAAGCTTACAGTTCAGTGGAGAGTATAGGTAAACCAACAGTTAACTACAGTACAGTCTGACATTTGCTATAGCAGAGGTGGTAACAGATTGAAATAAAGTCTTGTGATTTGCACTGTGAATTGTGGTTAAACTAATCTTTTTTACCCCCAGAGTCTTTCTTCAGTTCATGTGGTAGTTTACACAAACTAAGTGAAGAGCCACTGATTCCTCCGCCTCTTCCTCCTCGAAAAAAGTTTGATCATGATGCTTCAAATTCCAAGGTAGTCAACAGGACTTAGGTTTCCTTAACTTACTCAACTTATTCCAAGTTGTGAATCTTCAAAATAATTCTTGTTCTTATAATAGTCTGTCAATTATAATTTGGCTACCTTTATAATTTTTAAACATTTTTTTTTGAAAAATACTTTACCTGCTTATTTCTCGTTAATATTTTTTTCTAAAAAGAGACTGGGCAGATTCACAGATACTCAGAAGCATGTTTCCTTTCTGGTAGAAAAGGGAAAAACTTTAGTATTCAAAGCATTCTTCAAATTTTAAACCAGTACTTTGCAAACTTTAGGCTGCATCAGAATTACCTGGGAGGCTTGTTAAAACCAGATTGTGGAGTTTCCCATTCAGTAGGTCTAGGGTGGGACCCAGGAATCTGCATTTTTTAAACAAGTTCCCTACTAGTACCAGATGCTGCTGGTCCCTGGATCACACTTTGAGAACCACCACAGTAAGCCTCACTGGGGAAAGAAGTAGTAGATGGCCAGAAAGCAGAAGCTGGACATCGAGTTCCCTTGACATCGTGTCCTTTAATGTGTACAAATCTATGTATTCCTTTCACTCACTTGCCTATTATAGTTAAAATGTGTAAATTTTTGAAAGGTGTATAAAGCAAGATAACCTGAGGCTTTATGTTCTAAGATTTCAATTAAAATATCTTATATATAAAAATATTAAACTAGGCACCAAATTAAATGGGGAGTATTTTACTCATGAATCTGATCATTAAATCAGATTAACCTATTTTGAGCTCTTGGATTTAACTAAACAAGAATTTTTCAGTCTTTTAAAGCTTAACAGATTTTTCAGGAGAATGGAGGTGTGATTTAATTTTTTTTTTTTTTAGGGAAATATGAAGTCTGACGATGACCCCCCTGCTATTCCACCAAGACAGCCTCCTCCTCCAAAGGTAAAACCCAGAGTTCCTGCTCCTGCTGGTACATTTGATGGACCTCTGCATAGTCCACCTCCACCGCCGCCAAGAGATCCTCTTCCTGATACCCCTCCACCAGTTCCCCTTCGGCCTCCAGAACACTTCATAAACTGTCCGTTTAATCTTCAGCCACCTCCACTAGGACATCTTCACAGAGATCCAGACTGGTTCAGAGACGTTAGTACCTGTCCAAATTCGCCAAATACTCCTCCTAGCACACCCTCTCCGAGAGTACCACGTCGATGCTACGTGCTCAGTTCTAGTCACAACAACCTTGCTCATCCTCAAGCTCCCCCTGTTCCACCAAGGCAGAATTCAAGCCCCCACCTACCAAAACTGCCACCAAAGACTTATAAACGGGAGCTTTCGCACCCTCCGTCATACAGACTGCCTTTGCTAGAAAATGCGGAAACTCCTCAATGACCTTAGCCATATGTAGTCATTGACACTGGAATGGTATTTGTAAAGGGTTTTTTTTTAATTTATTCAAAAAAGTCATAGTATTTTAGTACTTTTTACAAATAATGCTCTTACAGAAATGCTACTGATCAAATAAGCTTTTAAAAATTGGTAAAATAAAAATAACAAAAGTCCTTTATCATTATCCTCAGGTGATCAGTAGCATTGCCTTGTCTTGGATCCTCAGTGCTGCCAAAAGGCCAGTATAAAGAATTTATATTTGCACTGTAGACTCTGCTAAAATATGGTTTAAAGTGACATTGATTGCACTGAAAGGGGATAGTGCATTTGTGGAATTTTTCAAATTTGGGTAATAGATGCCTTTTTAAGGCAATGAATTTACACAAATATAGGGGGTGTATGGTATTACTGATTTTTAAAACTCTTTGACCATCTTCTAGTTTTTACTTCTAGTTTTTACATTACACAATTAGGAGAATTGTGAAAAACACCCACTGTTCTTAAACTCTTTAATGCCATGTCTTAAATGCCAGAATTTGCTGCTGAAGACAAAAATGGAAAATAGAATGAAAATAATAGAATGCACTGTAAATGTTTATTATTTTGTCAAAATGTATACAGACTACCTAACCCAATCATAGAGGGAAAAAGGGCATGTATCTCATTCAGATGTGCCTTTTGTTTTTGCGCACTATGGTGTCTTTAGCTAATGAGTTGCTTATTGTTTTGGAAAACAAAGTTAATTAATATGCCATGTATGTACAGTTTTGTTTATAATGTATATTTAAAAATAATGCTAATAACCTATGTAAATTTAAGTGACTCAAGGCCTATACTACAGTCTGCTACTTTACTAATTCAGAAATTCAGAGGAAACTTTCTTATGGCATAGGAACCAACTGCCTTGCCCTCAACACCTAGCAACTTTCTCTATAAATCTCATGTTAACTAAAATTAAAAAAAAAATTTTTTTTAGATTGGTAACATTTAAATCAGCAAACAAACGTACTTAAAACTTTATTAAACTTTTTATTCAGAGAAGCGAGTAAAAGTTTTATTTGCCATTTGGACTCCTGGGTTCAAAGTGATGAAAAAGCGTGTTTTGCTGATAGTGCTGTAGCAGCAGTTGTAACCAGAAGCCACGTTGTTTATTTACTGGTCTGTGGCCTTTTACTGTGCTTTGTATCAGAGTTCTTAACAAGATTAATAAATCACCCCAGTCCTAATTTTTAAAAGACTTTTAAATACGTGTTTTCATTAATAAGGAACAAGTGGAGATATTGTTGAGTTCTGTGTAAATACATACAACCACATTATTTTCAATATTTGTGCAATTTACATAATCCCAAGGAATTTAAGTGATATAAATTTTATTAGGATAACTTTGTCTTAACTGTTAAAACGCAATCAGCAAGCTTCCAGCAACCATTTCTATGCATTCAGATGAAGAATTAGGAGCATGGTAGGAAACCCTTGATAAAAGAGGATTGCAGCCTCCCTGGTAGGACCTTGGAAGCTGCCTGGATTTAAGGCCGGTAACTACCGAGTGAAATTGGTCTCCAGGTAAAAAGTCTTGAGTTTGCCTTTGTTTTTTAAAGAGGTGACAATATTAGCTTTGTCTGGAAGAGTGAATTAAACTGCCCGTTTGTAAAGCCAGGCTTATAATTTAGAGGAGTGAGCCTGACCAACACCAAGAAGCGGGTGGCCTGGTGCTCGACCACGCCCAGGTAATGCTGTCTTCTTGGCCTTGTACTTTTGCGCACGCGCAATGGTGTCAACTTCGCCACTAGGAGGCGCCGGGCCCTCTTCAGGCCGGTCTTGGGGCGGTGCATGTGGCTGTGACGTCACTGCACGCGCCACATCTTGTTGCCGGGCAGCGATGGCGGCTACTCTGGAGTCCGCGGAAGACCCACTGCGGAACTTTGTTCGAGTTTTGGAAAAGCGAGATGGCACGGTGTTACGACTGCAGCAGTATGGCTCCGGCGGCGTGGGCTGCGTTGTTTGGGACGCTGCCATTGTCCTTTCTAAGTACCTAGAAACGCCAGGGTTTTCCGGGGATGGGGCCCACTCTCTGAGCCGGCGGTCCGTGCTGGAGCTGGGCTCCGGCACTGGGGCCGTAGGGCTCATGGCTGCTACCCTCGGGTAAGAGCTGGCAGGAGGGGTGGGGGGGCTGCTTTGTTAGGGAAATCCGGATTCCTGGGTTACCACGCTTGTGCCTACACTTCAGTCCACGTTATTTTATAGGGCTGATGTTGTGGTCACAGATCTTGAGGAATTGCAGGACTTGCTGAAGATGAATATTAATATGAACAAGCATCTTGTCACTGGTTCTGTTCAAGCCAAGGTACTGAAATGGTTTGTATGGCCTTTCAGCTTGTTTTAAGATAACGATTCTATTTTGCTTTAAATTGCGTTTCACTACAACCATAGTTAATACGAAGGGGACTTTCCAGAACTTGTTTATAAAACAGTGTTTTAAATTATTAAAGCAACAATTAAATATTTTGGTTGATATTTTTAAGGGGGGAAGAAATAGAAGACTTTCCTTCTCCGCCAGACTATATCCTGATGGCCGACTGCATATACTATGAAGAGGTGAGTATTCATTGAGTGAAGTGTCTATCTTTAGAATTTATACCATAATTTGTGGATTCCAAAGTTCACGTTTCTTCACATTTTAACATTTCTGAATGCAAGATATTTGTCCTATAGTTGATGACACAGTAAAGAACATAAAGGTTACCAGAACTATATACATATACTGGTGATAAACATAGACCTGTAAAATATGTTGACAGAAGTGTTATGTGCATTTTACTAGAGACTTCTGTACTATTTTAAAGATTTTGCCGTTTGGATCTGTTATAAAAAGCTTAAGGTTTTTTGTAAGCTCTTCCTAGTGAACATGTTAACCATGACATTGAGAATTAAGTTGCATTGTAAAGAATTCTTTGTTCTGTGGAAAGATTGATTCAGAATGGTACTTTTTTTTTTTTAATTTTATTTATTTATTTGACAGACAGAGATCACAAGTAGGCAGAGAGGCAGGCTGAGACAGAGAGGGGAAGCAGGCTCCCTGCCAAGCAGAGAGCCTGATTCGGGGCTCAATCCCAGGACCCTTGAGATCATGACCTGAGCCAAAGGCAGAGGCTTTAACCCACTGAGCCACTCAGGTGCCCCCAGAATGGTATTTTTTTAAATGGCAGTTTGTATAATATTGTGGGCATTGCGTTTTTAAAATAACAAACATTGAACTAGCTTAAATTCAAGTTAGGGTCAGACTCACTTTTGTGGGTATATCCCAACTTAAAATAGATTAAAATTAATTTTTTAAGGATGAGGTCATTTCATTTGTTTTCTCATGGAAACTCCAAAATACAGTCATTTGAGTCTTTTGGAAACTGAAATCAATACAGTGGTTGATTAGTGAAGAGGAGTTTACCAGTCATTAGTTACAGAGCTTTAACCACTTGTACTTTGTTGATTGACTCAAAGATGGATAAATTGGAGGGGAGTTATAGTTACTCTCCACTTCCCCTATTCCCATTTTATAGTAAATATTAAAATTTTTAAAAATCATAAGTAAAAGTGATATTCTGTTTTGAACAGTCTTTGGAGCCATTGTTGAAAACTCTAAAAGATCTTAGTGGATTTGAGACTTGTATTATATGTTGTTATGAACAACGAACAATGGGAAAAAATCCAGAAATCGAGAAAAAATATTTTGAGGTAAGTACTAGATCTGTTTTTGTTGTGCTTTACATGATTTCAGCGAGGCTTTATGTGACTGTATGTTCAAGTATATTAAGGTAATTTTGAGTGGGGAACACATTCCACTTGTATGAATCCAAGGAGAGTATCCTTCGTTGCCCACCATTCTACTAAGCTTCTCCCCGAACCTTTTGCATCTTTTCTAATCCTTTGTTACTTTTTCTTTTCTAATTAGTCAATCTAGTATCTACAAAACAACCCAAAATAATAATGGTGACATCCTTGTCTTTTCTGGGAAAGTTTTCCATGCTTCTTTATTAAACATGATGCTGGCTTTTGGGAATGTATTAATGATGTATGTAGTACTTTTGGAAAGTACATCAGAGAAACATATGTGATATGTTTTTACCTCTGTGTTTTTCTCTACATTTTTATAAAAGCTTTCAACCAAGGTGTCCTATCTACTTTGGGGGGTATTTTTTGTTTTTGTTTTTCACTTTTTATTTTGAAATAAAGACTTATAAGAAGTTGTAAAAGTAGTACTTAGAGCCCCATGTATCTTTCACCCATCTTCCCCCAGTGGTCATCCAAACCCTTTTGATGGGCAAAAATCCATCACATTACAAAGTGACTCCTCCTGAGGGTACATCTCCATAGTCCTGCAATTTATCCACTGAAAGGACTGCTTTGCTTAAATAAGAATGCAAATACATGACTCTGCCTCAGATACGTGCTAAAATTGTTTTTATTTTCATGTTTTTCTTGAAAGTAAAGAATTTAACTTTTGAGACTGTAATTGAAAATTCTATATTGTTAAACAGTTTAACTTGAGTCAGCACATGTAAAAATGCATATGTATCAAGTTCTCAACTCAATTTTTCATATGTATACACCCAGGCAACCACCATTACCTCAAGATACAGAATACTTTCAGGATCTCGGAATGCTCCCATGTGCCCTTTCTAGTCGGTACTCCTCCAAAGTTAACTGTCATTCTGACTTCTGTCACCACAGGAAACTTCATGTTATGGAATTTACAGTATATCTCTTTTAAATTTATAGCTCCTCCAGCTAGACTTTGACTTTGAAAAAATTCCTTTGGAGAAACATGATGAAGAATATCGAAGCGAGGATATTCATATTTTATACATCAGAAAGAAAAAATCGGTAAATACATTCCCAGCTCTTTGTCCTCTGAGGAGATCTCATTAGCTGGGCACTGTCTCTGGGCTAATGTGTGATGCAGATGCTGATTTTGATGTGGGGAAATACTTCTGATGACTCCCTGGGCTCAGGCACTCTCAATGTTCAGATCATTTAATCTACCTGGCCTTGGATTCTCCCTCTAAAAAACCAAAAACAAAAACAGGCTTTTCTGATAAAGATCCTTTCCATCTGTAAATAATAGAGCTTTGTAATTGGGCATTACCTCAGGCAAATATCTTAGCTATTTGTACATTTCTGTTTTAAAATGTCAGTTCTGACTTTTGTGAACTTTCTCCAACCATTCACATTTGGCAAATAGTCCAAAGTAAAGTATAACAAGGTAGATCTGTCCAGTAAGTAGAAATGCACTCAGTTAAATAGAATTTATGTATATTTCCCCTTTTTTGTTCCTTCCTTTACCTGTTAACATTAATTACATTTTTATATAAGCTGCCTCTGTATGCCTAGAGTGTGCACGTGTAGAGGGGAAGAATTGTATTTCATCCATTTTGTATCACCTTTTATATATGTGACCAGTAAAAGGCAAGACATGATCTAGTTTATGAATTAAGGATGCTAAATTTAGTTAGTCCTACTTGTTTCTGTTATCTTTGCTTTGATTGAATTCTCAGTGATGAAGTTTTCTGATTATGTGAATTCTAGTCAAAAGCAAATAGCTTGTAATTTGGGGGATTAAGGCTAAGTGTTAGAACTGTAAGGAAAAAGAAGTGGTGGGATTAGTAATTCAGATCTGCTTTCATTTGGCATAGTGCTGGAGATAGATAAATTTTAAAAATATTTTATGCCTTAAGGAATCTGGTTTTAGTTCAAGCTGTTGTGTAGTTTAAAAGTAGAATTTTTTTTGAGGCTTAAAGATTTTGTGTCTCCTAAATGTAAAGGCTTTTTTTTTTTTTGGCAAAGAATTACTTCTTTTTACAAAATTCATAAAATTCACCCTTTTAAAATGTACAGTTCAGTGGTTTTTAGTATATTCACAGAGTTGCATAAGCGTTACCACTTTAGTTCTAAACATTTTTTATCACCCCAAAAAGAAACCCCATACCCATTAGCAGTCATTTCCTACCCCTGCCTCTCCCTAGCCCTTGGCAGCCGCCAGTCACTTCTCTGTCTGTGGATTGCCTGTTCTGAATGCTTCACAGAAGTAGAATCACACACTGTGTGGCTTCCTGTATCTGGCTCCTTTTAGTAGTTTTATAAGAAAAATACAGTTTTAATATTTCTTTGATACTATACCTTATCCATCCATTCATCAGTGATTGGACATTTCAGCCATTTTTCACTTTTTGGCAATAATGAAGAATACTGCTGTGAATATTCATGTAAGAATTTTTGTGTGACTTCCGTTTTCAAATCTCTTGGGTATATACCTAGAATAGAATTGCTGGGTTGTATGGGAACTCCATATTTAACTTTATGGGGAATTTGCCAAACTGTACTCCAAAGCTGCTGTACTGTTTTATATTCCCACTGGCGGTAGCTGAGGGTTGTGATTTCTTCATCTCTTCACCAGTGCTTGTCATTGTCCATCTTTTTGATTGTAACCATCTCAGTAAGAGTGAATTCATATCTCATTGTGGTTTTTATTTTCATTTCCTGAATGACTAATGTGGAATGTCTTTACATGTATTTATTGGCCTTTTGGATATCTTTACAGAAATACTTTCCCTGTTTTTAAATAGAGTTGTCTTCTTACTGTTGAGTTGTATCTGTTCTTTATTCTGGATACTAGACCCTTACCAGATACGTGACTTTCAAATATGTTATCCCGTTCTGTGGTTTGTCTTTTTTTTTTTTTTTTCTTTTTCTTGATAGTATGTCCTTTGAAGCACAAAGCTTTTTAATTTTGGTGATGTCCAGTGTATCTAATTTTTCTTTGGTTACTTTGTTTTGGATATCAGCAAGAAAACCATCTCTTAAAATTATGGATGGTTATTCATTTGAGCTGCATTAGGCATATTTATTACTTAGTATTAAGTACCCAATAAATACTTAATTTTTCATAAGAAATCAATCTTTAAAGTTTTCTTTTTTTTTTTTTTTTCTTATAGAAATCTCTGTCGTGAAATCTTTAGTCACCTTACCCAAGCCTCTAACAACCTGGGTAAGCTAAATATATGAATGGAGCATGTGAATACAGCATGGGAAGATTGTGTTCACAGATTTTTCCAGCATGTCCATAGAGATTCGATATATAACTGACAACCACCATGGGCTACCTGCAATTTGAAAATGATTACTGACTGCCTGTCTGCCAGCGGGCCTGAAATCCACTTTAGTTTACTTGTAGCTCAGCTTCAAGTTCTGCTTAAAAGAAAATTGTGTATCAGTCACTCCTCAAATGAAAGATAGGTGTTGAGGTTTGCCTTAAGTCTACCAGAAGTAAACAGTGAAGTGGCATGGTTGACTTGGCATTATTGTCAGGAAACTGGAGATGAATTGATCCAGTTTCTAAAGAGAGACATCTATTACTATGTAATTCTGTTTAAGTTGCAACTAGTAAAATTTAGTTGTCTTCAAGATAAACAAATCTAAAAGTTGGTTTTTATTTTAATGTAATTATGCATTGGTTTTTATCGTATGTGTCTTCCACTTCATTGCGGTTATTACGATAGCATTAATATTGAAATGTTCTTAAAACAAAAACCTGAAAATGCTGTTTTGTATACTATTAGCCAAAGTTTTATTCTTTTCCTCCACCATACATGTCTGTGTGATTTAGATAGTAATTTATACTGTAATGAGTTGGTAGGAATGAAAGTAAGAAATCAGGAGGGGGAAAAGGTATCTTTACAAACTTTTTCGTTTGCGAATGGAGCAAGAATAAAAGCCCAGTTTCAGGCTTGTGCACTTAGGTGGCTCTTGCACTTTTTGTCGCATATATCTTCCAGGAAAATGGCTAAAATCACCAGTGTTTACATGAAACAGAGAAATGTTTTTAAGTAACTACAAATGTGGCTCTATATATATTTACCAAGTGTTTTGATTCTATGTATTCTCTGTTTTATCTTACAATGATAATCATTTCACAGACTGATCTGTCAAGGACTTGTTACACCAGTTTTGAAGAGTAATACTAACTGGATAGAATTCTGGTACCTGTAGGCATTGGTGCTAGGTGGCACATTTTATGTATTAAAATAAACATTGTTTTTGAGATTCTGTGATTTTGTGAATGTTTCAGAAATAGCTTTGAAGAAAATGAACATCTAAATCAGGCTTTCCAGAAAAAGAAAAAGAAACCCTATTTAGAGAAATTAAAGATCCAAGTGAAAGAACCATTCTTTCTTTCAGGTTTCCTTTGGTCTTTAAAGTTTGTCTTGCTGTTCTTTTTCAGAATACCTTGTTCATACTGCCCTTAGCATTTCATTAACCAGTTTACAAACAGTTTAACCTAAATACATGATTCTTTGTTAGTTACAGATAGCACCAGTTATTATTAGTGAAGTCTTGGCACAGATGACTACTTTCTAGCCTATTCCATAACATTGTGCAACTTAAATAAGTCTGACATTGACCAGCTATAGTAATCCACTCAGATTCTCGATCCCTTTTCAACCTCCTCTTCTTTTCATTATACTTCCAATATTCACTACCTCTGGGTCTTCTGCCTAAAGTGCCCCTTGGCATTCCTTTACGAAAGCCCAGCTCCTTTACCTCACATAGGTGCACCTTACACTCCAAAATTTTCTGGAGGAGTTGGGTGGAGGTCAGCCTCTACAGCTTCGCCAGAATCACCCCTTTACTTGTGTGTGCCTCCTTCCCTTCCCTGTCCTATTCCCACTCCCTTACTTAATTTATCACCTTAAAGCATCACTTGCATACATTCATCACCATCTGTTCTGGAGAACTGACCTAAGTTACTGAATGTAGATTTAAGTAGTTTGTAACATTAAATCATGGGATTTTTTTTTTTTTTCCTATTCTGGAATAAGGCCAGAGCAGAGATTAAAAAGTACCAAATTTCAAATTAAAAAAGAAAAAGGTACCAAGTCTCCACATTGTAAGACCAGAGAACCACTGGTTTGGTAGGACCAGTGAGCACTGCAGGGCTTACTGGGGGCTGCCAGTTCCAAAGAACCTGCCCTATCACCACCCACCATTCCACAGACAGAGAGGCCTGGGAGAGGTCTCTTTGAGGAATGCAGTGTTGGGGAATGGGATTTTGGCTTTTGGACTCTAATGAGTCCTTTAGACTCTCTTCTGCACTCAGAAACCACAGGAGAGAGGCGTGAGGGAACAATTCAAGATTAAGGATGCTTCTAGGAGGAGGAGCCCAACATTTTCTCCACCTGGTTGAGTTTACCCAGCAGATTAGCACATCTGTGTTTTTATTTCAGAGCATGGGAATGAAATTGGAGAGGTGAGAACTATCAGGCAGAGAGGTGTTAAAGATGGGTCCTGCCGGCTCCTGCAGAGGACTTGAGCAGCAACATGGAGAAGTTCAAAGGCAGGTGCAGAAGATGAGTGAGGTGTGATGCCAAGGACTGGGGATCAACCAGAATACAACCAACTCCAATCCCCCGGGACTGCCAGGGCTGGGGTCAGGTGAGAAGACAGCTCAGGAATGAACCTCTGGACCTCTAGTTGAGTGGGGGTTTGCCACTGTGCACCATGAAACCCACAGGCCAGTTATCGGAATGCAGTTATAGCCCATTAAGGTGGCCCCGTTGTAAGGCAGTGTTTCTCAAACTAGGCTGCACATGGGATCACCTGGAAAATTAAAAGCAAACGAAAGCCATGTTTGGGTCCCAATTAAATTTAAAGGCATGGGATTTTTATTAAAGGGCTCCAGGTGGTGTGAGTTTAGCCTAAATTGAGAACTGCTGTGTTAAGGAACTCCTAGCCTCTATTTCCCAAGGGGAAGGGAGCAAAGGGAGAAGAAATACAAAAATAAACCATCCATGATTAGAGTGGGCCTATGCTGCATAGGGAAGGAAGGAGCTTTGAATCTGATGTGGAATCATCTACAAAATAGGTTTTAAAATAAATAGGACAGAGATTTAGAAATTGACTGTTTACCTGAAAATTTGGAGAACCTGGTCAAGAAGGCAAAGATGGTGCTACTCAAGAAGAAAGGGGAGTCTAATAGCTGGAAAAATGAAATTGTTATAGGCTAGTCTCCAAGGACTTGAGTCTCCCCTGTATACCAGTTATAACTAAAGGTCTTTGAAATTGCACAACGTGGTATCTCAATCAGGTATAGTTCACAACCAAGGGTCTGTGAATCTTAAGTTTCATGAACTTGGGAGTGAAGTTAGGTTATTTTTCATTATTTTAAGAAGTATTAATCCAGAATGATGGTGGGATTTTTTACACAGCTACCTTTTTCTTAAAAGTTACCTTGTTAAATGATGCCAATTGCGATATTAACTCAGACTATAATTACTGTATTTTAAGAAGTGTGGGTTATAGAAATAGGACTGTTGTTCTAAAGTTTCCCTGTAGATGGCATTGCTTGACTTTGTCTTTAAACATTTTATAAAAAGGAAGTTGTTAAAATAGAACATTTTGAAATTGAATCACACTTGCATTTTAAAGGTAAACTAAATTAGATTTTAAAGAATCAAGCTACTTATCAGGAGTTGCTTTCAAGTACAGCGTGATTGTCTTAGTGTGTTTGGGCTGCTAGAACAAAGTATAGACTGGGGGGCTTATAAACAGAAACCTTTCTCACGGCTCTAGAGGCCGGAAGTGCAAGCAAGATCAAGGCGCCAGCTTCGTTACCAGCTCTCTTCTCATTGTAACGTCACGTGGCAGAAAAGCAGAGGATCTCCTTGGGGTCTCTTATAGGACACTGACTCCATTTAGGAGAGCTTCGCCCTCATGACATACTCATCTCTCAAATGCCCGCCTCCAAATACTATCACAATGGGGGAATAGGTTTCAGCATAAGATTTTGGGGCTGGGTTGTGGGCGGGAAGCACAAACATGCAGACCGTAACAATAGTGTAGGTAAAGCTGATTTTTTTCTTATAAAATTGTACTTGACTTATCTTTGTGTCCATTGCAATCTGATATGCCTTTTGAATTTCTGAATATTATTTGTAAAGCTACAGAAATTGCAATTCAGAGACCATTTCTCTGCTATTGATATCTTCTGTGAGAGGCTTTTAAGAGGCTGAATTAGTTGGTTAGGTTCTGAAAATTAAATTGACCTTGAAAGTACATTTTATATAATGCATGATTTTATGTTTGAGGTGTTTGAAACTTCTAATTAATTTTAATTAGTTTTCTAAACCAGTGTACCTTCCTCACTAGAGTAATAAGTAGCTTTTACATCAAAAGACTGAAGCTGTCTGGCTTTACCACAGTCCTGCAGGCTTAGGCCTTCTGTTTGACTTTTTGTCTTTTTCCTCAAGGAACATCAGGATTTGGAAGAGCTTTTGCTGCATTGATAGTAAACATTTTTTTTTAAAGATTTTATTTATTTATTTGTCAGAGAGAGAGAGGGAGAGCGAGCGAGCACAGGCAGACAGAATGGCAGGCAGAGGCAGAGGGAGAAGCAGGCTCCCTGACGAGCAAGGAGCCCGATGTGGGACTTTATCCCAGGACGCTGGGATCATGACCTGAGCCGAAGGCAGCTGCTTAACCAACTGAGCCACCCAGGCATCCCGATAGTAAACATTTTAAAAGTAGAATAGTCCATTGTCATACCATGGAGATCTCCAAGCTACTACAGAAAGAAGTTGTGGTGACAAAATTTTACTGAAAATTAGTCAAGTAATGAAAAAGTGAAGTTTTCACTTTATATAATTTTGAATAAGAAAGCAGTGAATTCTCAAACCATGGATACCCATTGGGTTAAAACTGTTACATACTTGGGGTCATTTAGGATATTGTCTTAGGTTCTTAAGTATTGGTTGGAGTTTTGTGACAATTTAGTAAGTCCATCAATTGAGAGGTAGATTCTATGGGGACCTGGGTCCCATGCCTGACCAGGAGGAGCTCCTGTCAGTCTGGAGCAGGTCAAGTTCCCAGGTCCAGAGCGTATCACCAATGAGAAGCAGAAGCTGTTCACCAGTAAGCTGCTAGATGTCATGGACAGAGTACTGATCCTGGAGATCAGTGGTCATGCCATTTATGCCATCAGGCTGTGCCAGTGCAAGGTGTACTGGTTTGGGCCATGTGCCCCATCGCTTGTGGCCCCCAACCTGACTGAGAGACAAAAGAAGGTCAAACTATTTTGCCTGGAAATGTTCCTTAGTGATCTCATTGCCCACCAGAAAGGACAGATAGAGACGCAGCCACCATTTGAAATCTACTTATGATTTGGGAAAGAATGGCCAGATGGGAAAGCCCTGGAAAGGAAACTCATCTTGGTTCAGGTCATTCCAGTGGTAGCTTGGATGATCTACGAGGTGTTTTCTGGTGTTTTTACACAATAATGTATCAAGATAATTTCTGTTTATAACAAGGTAATTTTCAAATAATGGACTTAAAAATGTGTTAGAGCAAATAATCTCCATGATAATGTTTTCATGTGCATTCTTAAAACCATGTGTCAGAGCATAGGCCTAAAGACCAGATTATCTGGGCTTAAATTCCAATTCTGCCATTTACTAACTGTGTGACCTTGAGAAAGTTATTTAAACTGTGTGCCTGTTTTCTCACATGTAAGGTGAAGGTCATAATCGTGTCTATCTAGTAGTTTGCCATGGGGATTAAATCAGTTTAATACATGTAATGCACTTAGGTACCAGGTGCATAGTAAGTGTTCAAAAAATGTGATTATAATAGAGGTGTAGGGACTAGGAAAATGTATATAATGTAAGTCAATTTTTACCTATATTGCAGTGTAAAATCTGGACATTTTTTTTGAGAGTGTAGGGCCCTTGTACCCATCACTCCCCCTTCATGATAGCAGTGGCCCTTGGGGTCACTTCCTCTAGAAAGAGGAAGAAAATGGGGTGAAAGAAAAACATTTGTTTCCCATTCATTTTTTTGGTTTTAAAATAAGTGTCACAGGCATTCGAAGGCCAATAGGTACAGGAGACACATTTCTAAGTATAGGAGCCTTGCCTTGCTGGCTGGAGCTCCAGGATTACCATTCCACCTTCCGGGACCTTCAGCCAGTTCTTCCCTCTGGGGTTCTTATCTCTGTAAAACTGAGACCAGTTAGGAGGCAGGTGATGAACGTACAGCAGCAGGTCCTTTTT